ACACTGTGAATCCTAAGTATCAACGGATTTTATTTTACTGTTATGCTATCATAACACTCTGTAGTCGAACTCTTCTGAACTATCTATTATAACTAACTACTGTCTCTTAACTACACTGTGAATCCTAAGTATCAACGGATTTTATTTTACTGTTATGCTATCATAACACTCTGTAGTCGAACTCTTCTGAACTATCTATTATAACTAACTACTGTCTCTTAACTACACTGTGAATCCTAAGTATCAACGGATTTTATTTTACTGTTATGCTATCATAACACTCTGTAGTCGAACTCTTCTGAACTATCTATTATAACTAACTACTGTCTCTTAACTACACTGTGAATCCTAAGTATCAACGGATTTTATTTTACTGTTATGCTATCATAACACTCTGTAGTCGAACTCTTCTGAACTATCTTTTATGACTGGCTACTCTCTTTTTATGTAGACATATACATAACTATGTAGCTTTATGTATTTTTCTCCTCCGTAACATTTCATACTAACTTTTCGTTGCTATGCTTATAACTAAAATCTTGAAAGTAGCCTGCAAATCTCTGATTCTCTTACTTTTTTATTGTACGTAAACATTTTTAAAATGCTGTTAGTGACGATGCATACAAAACGGCTGACTGAAAGTAGTCGTTCGTACTGTAAGTGTTGAAGCTAGACTTAAGATACTCCTCGATATCACCACACTTACTAAAAACTTCACCGTCTTATGACTTTACGAGTACTCTACCTAACGTGTAAGTACTGATTAACTCAATCAAAGTTTAGAAACTAACAATGGAAAGAATTCTTAGTATGAGTTGTATTTAACGTAACTGAATAACAGATTTAATAAATAAAGTGACTGTACAACTTAGCTGCAGACGTTGCTGGAGGTAGGCTCGGAAAGTGTTCAGAAAGAGAGCACAACAAGAGAGCGAACCAATGAACGTACGGAAGACTCACAACTCAAAAGATAAAATGTGGATCACCGTGGGTGAGCGAGTTTAAACAAAAGTTCAAAGGTACAATGTGCACTACAGTACCATGAGTATCGTTGAGTTAGCTTGTTAATGCCAAAACTGTCCATATGACACGTAGCAATAATAAAAGATTTATTTCTAAAAACAAAAAAGGAGTATTTCGCCAGGGCCTAGCAGATTCAAAGGTGGGAGGGCGGTGACTGCTATTCAGTGGATATGATGGTGGGGACTTAAGAGAACCACCCTTATCTGTGGGAATGCACTCTACTGCTGAGGCTCATGAGGATGAATTACTTCAAAAAAAAAATAAATAAAATAAAAAATAAATGCTGCCTGTATGTCACAGCTTGCGTACAAACTCTTTGAAAAAATGGCTCATGATACGATTTCTCTACTTCAGGAGGACATCTAACTGTATAAATCAGAACAACAGCATAAATCAGTATTGCTATACTTCCTCTTTTCTTTTTAAATAACTTATGTACTTTGGCATTCGGATTTCACTTCTTCAGTTATTATTCCCAACATCACCCTATATAAGAGTGAAAACCATAATTCGTTTCGCCCTAGTTTTTACTTTTTTATTGTTATTCTACACTTCAGTTGTTGTTTACTAATATAAACAATCTAACCGTTAGTATGTAACACTATAAAACTCAATGACTAGAAATTCCTAGTAATAAAAAAAGTAGAAAAAACCCTGCGGTTATCGCATATTGTTTGCTTAAATTATTATTATCTGCTGGCTGCTCCTGTTTTCTTCACTTCTCGAAGGTATTGCACTGAAGCACTGCTAATGGACAGTAATCCTGCTTTCTACATCTGTATTACTTGGGCGGTATCCAGAATATTGTTAGCACTTACGATGAACAACGGAACAAACTCCATTCTGAATTCTTTTCAACATCGCAAAGTTAACTTTGCGACCAATTGGTCCTTTTTATCTGCTAATACCAATATAATGCTGTACTTACCATCTAATGTGGATTTTTAAAAACTTTCGAACCCTTATTGATTGATAAAATGATAATAATAACGGTCTGAATCCAGTGTGTCTTACTCTAGCACCTGTATATCACCTCTCTTCTTACCTTCCATTAACGCAAAATTTCATAATTCCCGCATGAGTCTTACTCACTATGAGTATATTAAATATTATAATTTAGACTTAAACCAAAATCTTATGTTCTATTCTTATAAAGTTTCTAGAGGTCATTTTCCAATTTTTAAGTTCATAAAACAGTGTTCAATTTTAGACTGCACTTGTCTAATATGATCATGCCTGAACAAACGGTATGTCAATCATGTAAATGCTTAATTTATGTGAAATATATTATTATATTATTACATCCACGAGTGGATTGATTGGTGTTAAAGACAGCAGATGGGTCGTGTACGCCGGGGAGGCTAGGCTATTGCTGAGAATGACATGCATACGAAGATAATGATTGGCTGTGGTCCTACACGCCAGGGAGCGAGAGTGTATACGACTGAGGCTCGCATACGTCACCGTTACTAGAAGTGAGGCAGAAGAAGTGACAAGCGATTGCAGTGGTAATCGGTAGTGGGTAGATAAGAGGATGTGCGTAGAGTATCATGAGGTGCCGCTATGGTCACGTTGCGCTCTGCAAGAGTCATTCTAGCAAGTGGCGATTGTGTTGCAAGAGGGTGTGTCAAGAGGATGCCTTTAACTGGAAGGTGGAAGTCGTCATTGATGTGTGAGATTGTGCTGTGGGTATGCTCGTGGTGTGTTGGCTCTTCTGTTTGTTTTCCATTTCAGCTTTGTCCGTGTGACCCAGGTTCTCGCACTGGTATCCATGTCAGCGTGTATTTGTCGTGATGCGAAAAGGGATGGATCCCTCTTTTGCCGGGGAGTGTCAATGTAGTTGAAGATTGAGCGATCAATTCATGGCTGTTTGCTCAAAGCCAACTTCCCTATATTTTCGTGGAGGCATCAATGCATCTGTCATCGTCTGTTCGTTCACTGTTTGTTGGAAAATAGAAATCTATCATAAATATTTTTGTGATTTATTGTTATAACATTCATTCTTAAACCTTATGTGTAATAACCTTATTGTTGGTTACATATTTGCGTACGAATAATGGATTCCGAATTCGCCAATCTGTGTTCTGCCTTTTTCGCGTTTGTTATGAGAAATTGTTTTTGAAATCTTCGAGGGACAGTGTGAGATCCAGCGTAGTAAGAGCTGGACATTGACAGTTTACTGAGAGTTGGCTTACAATAGTATTTATGCGAATAAGCTGAAAAATAAAGTCTTCCTTATCTTCTGAATAACTTATCAGTATTCTTTCACGCATGAGGCTGAATTCTGTTTGAAAATTAGATTCCTAAAGCAATTTAAAGTGCTCTCCCGAAAGTAAAGGCTGCTTGAATAACACGTTCACAACAACGCGACACACCGTGCCCATAGTGCTAATACTTTTTGTCCTAAAATGAGAAGCAGGTTGTGGTGAGTAAATGAAATCCAAAATTAATGTTTTAATTGAGCTATGAATACCAATAGCTACCAAGTCGATTAAACAATAGCGTTTCATCAAATAGGCTACATTTACTAGCATGATTTCATGAAAATACAAAAACACACGTTTAAAATTTGAATTTTCTGCCTTATTTAATACATCGATTTGCGCAGATATCAGTATCAAGTAACTTTTCCTGATTCACGTAGAGCAAATGTGACGCAGTTAAAGTGCATTATGTCGTTGATATTAGATACGTCAGAAAAGTTTCTTGATGCAAACTGTTTACTTAAAAAGCATATAAAAATATAGCTCCTGTCATTTAGCTGCCATAGCAATGGGAATATGCTATTAAGCTTCTCGATATTGCATGTTAGAAGCTCTTTAGTTACTGAAAGGTGAGTGCACTTAATTACTTCTGAAGTCCTCTAGTCAAGGACAGCTGATCTCACCCTGAACAAATTTTCTTGATTCCCGGTGCACGCCGTATATTCAGCGAGATGCATATCATTAATTCTTTAATGTGCATCGAGACGAATAGTTTAAGATAATGTAGTCTCAGTGTTTGACTGAAGTACACACTTATCACCTTGAATCGACAGAATAAAGGGCGAGTAGAATGAGAGACTTCACAAACTATGGCGGCCACCAAAATACTTTAAATAACCAATCAGAGTGAAGATAAAATGTCGAGGAACCGTTAATTAATTGTATATCACAATGTACATTTGTACACAGAATACATGCGGTGAAAACATTTGATAGTCAACAATAGAATGATCCTTGGAATATATTAGTCAACTTCTGTACAAATATTTGTCCAAAAGATTATATATTAGTTAGTTTTTGGAAGCAACTACTGACACAAATTTCTTCCTAAGACTACTCCGAAAACCCTCCGGCAATATATATGAGAACCTGAGACAAGATTCCCAAGATATCGGAAGTGGCAGACTTTATGGTTAAGGTTACCTAAAGAGCATAATCGATTATAGTCCGCCAACAGGTCCGTATGTATTGTATTACCAGGTAAAACAAATCATGTATAACTGGAAGGAGCACAGATGCATTCCCGCTCTCTCTACGGTTGAATTCAGAGGATGATGCACAGCCCAGCAGTGTTCAATAAATGAAAAACTTTTCAGTAATAGCTTTGATCTGGAAAAGAACGTCCTTATAAATAAAGGGACACAGTCTCGCACAATCTGTAAATATGAATATCATTCATAACACTATTTCCCTTAATTGATACGTAACACCACAGATACGTACCTTGGTCCTGCTTATATACTTATTATCGAAAAGAAACTAGAAAAGGAGATCTGGAGCGAACTGGTAGAGCAAAAGATGAACGTTGTTCATGACAATGGATGAAGATTTTTGTCAAGATCTGTGGTGGCGGATAGGGTCCTTTTTTCACCACTTCATTTATGTGATTTTTCCCATGAGCTGTCTAAATCATCATTTCTCGGTGCAAACACAACCAGTTATTTCATAACATATATGTTTTAATATATTCCTGAAGTTAAATTGAATACTCTTCAAGGTTGTGCTCACTTCGGAATTTTACGATGGTTCGTTGCAATCATGTGTTTGTGGCAATTATTAATTGTCGTTAACGGTCACTAAAGATTCTTTTTCTTCTAAATATGAGTTTTTTTCGTTTTCCGCCATCAGTATAATTTCTAAAATTACTTCACGATATATTTTTAAGTCATGTTAAATGATGGAGAGCAGTATGTAAATTTGTACTGATGTTAACTAATGTATAAAAATAGTAGAGTCACTCCCTGTTACTCATACGTTGAATTTCGCATAGTTTTTCAGAATTCACAAGACTACTTAGTAACAAATTACAAGTTTCTGTTGGAGGTAACTTCTGGTAAACTGGAGGGTGCATTAGTTTCGTATTGTTTTCTCTGATTTGTAGCTCCGGCAAGAAAAATATGTATACTTAGAACTTCAAGTATGTCGTTGCATGGCGTTGAACTATTCTTCCCGGTATATGTTTTCGAAAATATTTAAATGTCATCAATTTAGCATAAATGTTAGATATTAGACCTCAGTAGTAATTCATTTATTAAGTACCTTCTCACGCCTAAGACATCGTGAATTTATTTTAGAAATGCACATATGAGAATTTTTTGAAATTCCGTGAAGCATTAATGCAGTGTTTTCACACTGTCTTTAGTGTTTCAAAGTGTTTTTGTCGTCGAGTGATATACATTTCCTGTGTGGATCAAGGGATTTCCCCTGCTACCGAGATTGTCATCAGTGATAAATTTCTACTCAAGCGAATTCGTCGGACTTTCTCCTTTTGTAACTTTGTGCAAGTTGTTAGAGTGACTTTGTAAATATTCATATGGGTAATGTTGGGTCAAATCAATCGTCAAAGTGCAAAATAGGAATTTTCACATTTTGAGGGTAGTTGTTAATCTCCTGCTGATCTTGGGAAAGCAGCGTTTCAGTGAATATAAATGTCAAACGAAAATTATTTTCATAGGTGATACTTAACCGGTACAATAAGTATTCAGTTCTGGTTTTTTAGCTGTTTGTTTTGAAACAACTGAATCACCATTGCAAAATATGGAGAAAATTGTGTTTCTTATTTTCTAAGTGAATTTTTTATTACATTTATGCCTTATATATGATCGTTTTACGTCTCCGGATTCTCTAACGGCAATTTAATTCTATGTATTTCGTAAAGCACACAGTGAAATACATTTTGGTAACTGGTGGTGTCATTAGCGGGATTGGCAAAGGAATTATCTCCAGCAGCGTTGGGACTATTTTGAAAGCTTATGGATGGAACGTTACCTGCATAAAGATTGATCCCTACTTGAATATTGATGCTGGTACTTTTTCACCGTATGAACATGGGGAGGTCTATGTCTTGGATGACGGTAGTGAAGTTGATCTCGACCTGGGAAACTATGAGAGATTTTTAAACATAACACTGACGAAAGATAATAACATTACTACTGGAAAAATTTATCAGAAAGTGATCGAAAAAGAACGTCGGGGTGATTATCTTGGAAAAACAGTTCAGGTAAGAATGTTGTTCCCTAAATAGCTAAATTATACATATAGCATATTAGTATAATATATTCCAATGCATACCCAGCGCTGTTAGTCTGTAAAATAGTCTTCGTTTACATTCATTTCTAGTTGTGAACTCCTGGATATAATCGAACGAAGTAGTGTGTTCGTTAACGTACAACGAATGACATTTCTAACCACATGCCAAAAGCCATAACCTTATATTCTCGTTTGTAGCACATTTCTTAGTACACATATTGCGCAGATTTTGTCTCGATAATTAATATTCGCAATAAGCGGATTTTCATAAGCTACTACTTAGAACTATATAATTTCTAGTATTACTTCTTAGAAAGTCACTAGTGAAAATCTGAGTTTTTCGTCATTGGTTTATTATTATTAATCCTGTTGTCATTAAAACACATATGTATAGAATATATCTTGCAGGCATTCGCTACTGTCTCTCTTCAATGGCTAGTTTTCACGGAAAGTTATCACATTCAAAGAACAGGAGTTGTTAAATACTTATTAAAGCAACTTAATAGTGTTGACAGTAACTTAAGTATGCTTTTTGTTGTTTGCTACAAACTCGAACTTTGTAAAATATGAACACTAAGTAATAAGTAACTATATAAGGACAAAGAAAATAGGATGACTGAAGGGAATGAAGCAAGTAAGTAAACTTATGAAGTATATTCATTTCAATTCTTGAGTGAGAAGAAATGCATTTCCGCCACTATTTTCACTTGTTAGACGTATCTGATCTGATTAGTAGCATGACTTTTTGGACCTATCCAGGGAATCGCGCTGCTCCTAAAAACTAATCCAGCGTGACTACGCTTCGTCCCACGTAGCCACACAACGGACTATGCACCCGGAATTTTCCAATTGGTCCTATGGTTAGCGACTAGTGAACCATATGTTAGTCACTATGATGATATTCATAACATGTATCCAAGCCAAGAAGTCTAAGGCCTCAGGATGACACCAATTTGCGACGGTGCTGGAAATTCCCGAAACTGTATATTGCCTTGTCTTCCACCATAGGACTGGCTATTTCATCCCTTATAATTGCTTACGTACACGAGCGTCTTACTTGTAACAATTTAATTACTAAGGCGATGGTGGACACAGGTTGCAACCAATTTTGCTACAGATATTTTCAAAAGGTATCGTAATTACTGAAGTTGACTGCCAAATAACTTTGAGGTTTGGATAGACTGTTATTATCTCATGGTGAGATAATATCGCCCACATACATAAGGTTTGAATGACTTAGACTCAACTGTCGACTGTTACCAGGAGTAGATGCTATCTCCATGCTACAACTACGTCCCCACTACCACAGTTATGATGATAAACATCCTTCATTGCATTTCAGCTGCGATATATGGGTCCAAAGGCTGTAGCATCAAAAAGATAACGCTTTTCTTTTTAATTTTCTTCCTACTCTAAGATAACCCATCTCATCAACACAAACAATTTTTTATAAGAACCTATTATACTAACATAGCTTCTGTTTTGATGTTTTGTGCAATAAAAACACAGAATAGGCAAGATGCTTGTCTCAGGGTCTTCGAAGAAGCACACAGGAAACGTATTTTTTAGCTGACATACAGAAAAGTTGTCCTAAGCATTTCGTCGAGATCTTGTGTGTGGAACTTTGAAATGCACCACATGTCGGTATTGAGGGTTTTCAGACTACCATTTTAAGACCAAAGTTTGATGGTCACCCTAACGTCTAGTCGGATCTAAAGGTAACGTACAGCTGAGGAAAATGAAAATGAAATTGACTATAAGGATGATCAAAATAAAAAAGATTCCTCGTTTATTGGAACAATAACGATTACAATAAAATATGAATGAGCTCTTTTACCTGTAACCAGTTTAATATCTACTTTCAGCTATCATGATTCACAGCTGTGAACAAGGAATTTATGAACTGCTGTACGATACACGCATTTCGATGGGTAATTAGATTACTTGCCGGCACATGCCGAATGAGACTTTCTTATCACTATCGAGATTCTACTGGCAACCAGTACGTCAAGGTTGACGCAATCTATGTTTCTAAACTAGGAGTCTGTAGTCTCATATTAATTTTTATAGATGTATTGAATCACCTGACAGTGTTAACAAACAAATGTAAAATAATTTTGAGTTCAAAGCAAAGGATAACCATACTCATGAAATCGAGTGAATATTTGTTAATGAATAAGAGGATGTAAAACAAAGTATTTAAAACTTTTGAGTTACAACTGACTAGCAGGTATCTAAGGCCTTATTTTCTAATTGGCTTCTCCCCCAAAGTTTCCTACGGATACTTGTTTTTGGTAAATACATCTCAGAAATCTCGTCTCATTCTCCACAGTATCATGCGCAGAAATTTGTTCACCCAGAACAAAAAGGAATAAACCTGATTCCTTTCTGTGCAAATAGGAAGGGTGCTATAGAAATTTAAGCTCTATGTTCATTCATATATTCCTTTGTAATTGTTCCCAAATTATCTGTAATTTATTCTACTTCTTTTCATATAATATCCTAGGTTGTACCTCATATAACGGATGCCATCATAGAATGGGTCACGAATGTTGCTCAAATTCCAGTTGATGAAAGTGGTTCAACCCCAGAGGTATGCATAATCGAACTCGGTGGTACGATTGGTGATATTGAATCTATGCCGTATGTAGAGGCCTTCAGGCAAATGCTTTTCCGAGTAGGAAGTGTTAACTTCTGTTGTGTGCACGTGAGCCTCGTACCGCAGCTTGCATCTGTCGGAGAGCCCAAGACCAAACCTACCCAAGTAAGCGTTTTTTTATTTACACATCAGTATCGCAATATATATATATATATATTCTTCAACTGAGTTAGACTGGAATATGTATGAATTCAGGTGCATATCTCATCTACATACTTAAGATCTTCAAGAGCTATTACTTTCTATAACCCGTAGTAGATACGGAATTGTAGTTAGTGTGTAAGGTATGATACAGAAGGTAGAAGTTTCAACTGGTTCATGAACAAAATAGGATGGTAAATCTTAATATTTGACTACTACGGGACCACTCAAATTAGGTGTGGATAGAAACTCCTTGTTGCAGTGGTTAAGATATGACTGACTACAACATACTGGTTCACAGCTTATTCTTCTAAACAGCTACTGAATACAAATGAGGTGTATTGAATAAAGTATGTAGAAGGAATACAGCGTCATATAATGTATGACTTAACAATTATATAGTGGTTAGTACACTAGGCTACGCGTCAGTTATTTTGGCTTTTAGGATCAAATGTACTGTTAATTTAAAAATCTGATGGTTAAAGTCAGGCCAGAATCCTAGACTTACTCGTTAAAAGCTGAGTATAAAATCTATAAAGCCACAGTCCTAATTATACTCTGCTCATGTGGTTCCTGTAGTGCCTAATTAGCCATCGCTGCTGAAATCACAGTAATGGGAATTGTTTGAAATGATAATATAGTAAACTTGAGGGACTTTCTATAGTTTGGTTTGTAAGGATTAGTTATGTTTTACGGGTTGATCACGGAATGATATCAGTTAGAGAACCATTGAAAACCAGGGAGTACTGGACAGCTGCTGTTTCATCCTAGTTTGGGAATCATCGGCAGTACGCACCCACTGGGATTCGAACCCGGGACCTTCCGGTTACAAGGCAAGCTCGTATACCATTCAGCCACTGGGACCCGATTCAATGGCTCGTGAATTCTAACTTCTACTAATTCGTGATTTAGCGCGACCCCAACCATTGTCGTTGGTGGGACATCCATCCACACACGTGACATCTAATTGGACCTCACTGGTCACGACTTCTCACAGCAGCTGTCCAGTACTCCCTGGTTTACAATGGTTCTCTAACTGACATCAATCCGTGATCAACCCGTAAAACATAACTAATCCTTACAAACCAAACTATAGAAAGTTAATCTGATGCTCGCTAGTGACTTGCTACAAGTTGGAGTTTCCTGAGTTCTAGTGAGAAGTCGTGACCAGTGAAGTCCAATTAGATGTCACGTGTGTGGATGGATGTCCCACCAACGACAATGGTTGGGGTCGCGCTAAATCACGAATTAGTAGAATTTAGAATTCACGAGCCATTGAATCGGGTCCCAGTGGCTGAATGGTATACGAGCTTGCCTTGTAACCGGAAGGTCCCGGGTTCGAATCCCAGTGGGTGCGTACTGCCGATGATTCCCAAACTAGGATGAAACAGCAGCTGTCCAGTACTCCCTGGTTTTCAATGGTTCTCTAACTGATATCAATCCGTGATCAACCCGTAAAAATTGAGTGAATTAAGTTTCACCAGTAACTCCTGTTATAACTCATTTTGGCAAGATATTTTTTTTAATTTTAAGAACATGGTTATTCATTTCCTGCTGTTCATAACTCAACTGTCACGTCTACGCATGTTCTATGTTTTCACGGAAACTCATATTATTCGTGTCTTAAATTGAAAACATTCTACATTTTTATTCATTATTACTTTCCTTGATACTAATATCTGATTATTCATCTGTAATAGAATCCAACTTAGTGGCATGTCTATCAATCTTTATTTTATGTACCGAAACGCGGGTTTCCTTGTATTATTATTATTATTATATTATTACATCCTGTAATTCCTAGAGGAACATAGGGTTTCAGCTGCGCATCTCCATTGCCTTCGGTTTTCTGCCAACTTTTTCACCCCGCTCCAAGTCTGCCCACATGCTTTCATCTCCTCTTCACATCACCTCCTCCATGTCATCCCACCCTTGCACTGACGACCACCTCGCCGCTTCCCTTTCGGCCTGGTTCCACTCGAGCAATGGCTTGTCTAGTGATGTCACTTGATGGTTTCCTCAGAGTATGTATGGCCAGCCAATCCATCTCCATTTCTTCCTGCCTATTTGTTTCACAATCGGTTCCTGCTGGATTGGTTCGCTCATTGCCAGAGATCTCTGTTGCTGATCTTTCCTGGCCAGCCATCTGATCTTGAGTGGTATTGAGCGAAGACAACTGTTAATGAAGGTCTGTAGTTTGTTTGAGATGCTCTTTATGACGCACTGGCCAAGTCTCTGATCCGTATAGTAGCACTGACTGAATTCACATTGGAGTCGAAAATCCGGATGTTATTTTTGATGCTGAGTGGGGCTGTTGACCTCCACACAGACTTGAGAGTAATGAAAGCTTGTCTTGCTTTTCCGATCTGGCTTTGATATCCTCGTCAGTTCCGTCCGCCTGTAGTTGAAACGATGCTTCCCAGGTAGGTCAGTTAGTGAAGGAGGTTGTTTCTTTCAGCTTCCTCCCATTTATGCTGGCTGATTGTTGTCTGTTGTTGTTGCTGTTGCTATTGGCCAGGATACAATAACCGTTTGATAGACACTTAGCTTCTTGTGACTATACTGAATTTTTATAATGGCGTTTAGTAAATATATGTTAGGTTCGAATTTACAGTATATTTATTAGCCTCAGACAATGAAAATTTCGAACTGAAAGAGGACTGTTATTATGCTGCTATGCATAAGTATTCAGTTAACTGTTTTCAGTATCCTAAGTGGATATATATATAGAACTAGACACATTACACTACTTACTGACTAGTGTGCAATAAAAAAGCATTTATAAAGGATGTACATTTATACACAATAATGACTATAAACATCTCCCTGAAATCTCACCTGTGTGGTTTCCCTTTCCTGTTATTGTTGTATTATTATGTCATGAAAATATTTTGAGCAAAAAAAACAACTAAATGAGTGTCTGGTTTCTGATCGTACAGATAGGTTTTCTTTAACTTATTTCACTGAGTCAAAGCTTTTAAATCCATCTCTGCAGTCGATATGGAAGTCTTTAAATTTCGCTAAGCTTTTTGAAGGACATTTACGTCATATTAAAACATAAAATACTGTTTGTATTTGAAATATATTCATACAAAATTCTAACACTTGGCAAGTCACAATGAAATAATCATACTTTGAAATTCGGCATTGCATTTTGTATCATAGCTTATACAGACGTCTGATGCTTTTCAGATAAAGTTGTAACCTCTTTACGCATCATGCTGGTTTGACTCATAAATCCGTAATAGGCAGTTTTTTTCACATAATCATATTGGTTCTGTTAGTAAAACTATTATTATAACCCGAACGTTGATCATCCATCGTTACAGGATTTTGAGAATTGAGTATACGGCTTAAATATATACTCTATATTTCTTTCTTGCTGTCTAATCTGAGCACTTACCATTAAAGTTCTACGTAAAAGCGTTGGATTTAAGACTGCATAATCGGCTATGGCCTACTGGATTGAACATGACTTTTAATAAGACGATGGGTTCAAACTCCACTCATTTTGTCTTGGTTTATACAATACTTGCACAATTTAGGTGGCTCATTGCATAATGTATAAGCGTGCATCAATCTACTCCAGACATTTCTTTTTAATGTTCTACCATTAAAGTTTAAGGTTATGCACGTAAAATAGAGTATGGAGATCGCTACCGATATCCATGCTGAAAATTCCATCCTTGTACCAAAAATACAGTGTGGAATCAAGCTGTAATCAAAAATAAAAAAATAAAAAAAATACAGTGAATAACGTTGTTCAGCTATAGTTATGTAGTAAATTATGCTACGTATTAAAACCTTATACTTACATTCATCGTCTATTTCAGTGCATAATTTTGACTAAATCATACTTGAGATCTCACTCATTAAGTGATGGCTTACTGTGAAATTCCAAAATAATTCTCTTATTTATGGCAAATGCTCACTGTTTGATAGTACCGTATTGTTTTAATAGTTGTGTAGAGTTCCATTGGTACCGAACTTAGTCCTATTCTGTGGTACAATCTTATTTAAAAAACGTAATAACTTGCATTTTTACGTCCGTTATTTTTGTCCTTTGTCGTTATTCATAAGCTGTTGTGAAAAAAAACATGACAGCTTCTGACTGAACACTATATTTACTTAGCTACTACTATCGTTATCATTAGCACACCATCTTATGTATCTATATGTATATATGCTTATATTTTTCTTTACTGAATTTTCTCTAAATTATTGGCAAGCGTACGTGAACTTCGTGCTTGGGGTTTACATCCAGATCTTCTAATGTGTCGGTGCAGTTCACCACTTCCATCAAGCGTTATCAATAAGATTAGTTTATTCAGTCAAGTCTCAGTTGAACGTGTAAGTGACATTATTTATAAAAAAAAATATATTTCTGTTTTTATCTAACATTTATACTAATAAATCTCTGTCTATCTTCCTTAGAAGTGTTTTCATTATGTAAGAAAGTGTTGCTATAAGATCGTTTATTGTAATTTATTATCTAAGATCAAAATGAGCGGCACACTTTACTCCTGATTCATTGTTCATTATATACAAGTAATTACATGTTAGTTTCAATGGGTCTACTGTTATCGCCTGGTGGTACAAGTGTTTTCATTCTTTAACTTCTCTTAACCTGACAGGGAAGCCAGATATTAGATTTTAATTTGTGTACATAGACTTAATTCCCTTCGAATTGGAATAAAAATGTTTAAACTTTCTGTACTTAAAAGCTTAGCTTCTTTGGCTCCCCATCAGTTTATTCCAGTAGAAAATGTGCATAATGCACGTACTAAGTGTTCAACTAAGGTCCCAGTGGTTCAATAGTCTACGAGCCTGCCTTGTAACCAGAAGGTCCTGATTTCGAAACCTTGTCGGTGGGTGCGTACTGATGAAGAGTCTCAAACTAGAACGAAACGGCTGTCCAGTACTTTCAGGTTTTCCAGTGGTTCTGTGACTGATGTCAGCTCATGATGAAATCCTCCATGGAATCAAACAAAATCCCTACAAAACCAATACTTGAAAATTCAACCAGTAAGCAGAAAACATGACGCCCTCTAAACCCTTTTCTTTTCCTTCCTACTCTTGTGATGATAGTTTGTCTGCCGCATATAATGATTCACATTCTGTATGAAGTTTGTGTTTAAGAGAATAATATTATTCACGGCAGTATGACTAATCAAATGGTTTCTCATTGTCAACCCCAGAGGTATTTGATTAGTTGTACAGCTTTCGATACTCACCTGGCCGTGGATATCAGTCTTTGCTTAGGAGGAAAACAGCATGGACTGAGGCTTAAAATATTTTGGTGTCTGTGTGTATGTGTGTTTCTGTACTGTATTCGATTACTCGTGAAGTACCTGGAAGCTTTGAGCTATTAGTGTCTAATGTGTTTCTCTTCTTTGCTGCTGCTAAATTCGCAATTGCTGCTTAGGGGCTATCGGGAGTGATTCATGTTTTAGCTTAATCATAATATTATTTTTTCAGTGTATCAAATTGTTTTTACAACAGGCCTGTGGATAGTTCACGTATTCATGGCACTTCAGGAAATATCGTACCATACTATACAGCGTTTTAACAATCACTGAGATTTTGAGAAGTAAAGAAATTATAACCCAAAACTGTAGAAAAAAATGTGCAATTGTATTCAGTTGGCATTTGTTGATGAATATATGTTCAGTTGATGAGGTCTCCAAGATTATTCAAGGCAGTTTATTGAAACAGTTAAACAGTGTTCATTATACTGTTCTGTATTTGAAAATTATTACAAGATAAAAAGTAACAGTATTTACAAAACATATTTTCATATAAGTCTTATCCTTTTGATAACAACTCTTATATTTATTATCTTAATTCTTATTGTCATACAATTTGTATTTTATTTGTAAACTAGGTCATTCTTGCTGAAGATGTCAATGATCTCTACGAAGTTCCTATCCGATTAAATGAACAAAATTTATGCTCTATTTTATTAGAACATTTTCAATTGAATCCTAAACAACATATTGAATATCCTATTCTGGGAAAATGGAAAGCATTAACTCGTCAATTAGAATTGGCCTCTGAAACAGTTCATGTTGCTGTTATTGGAAAATATGCTAAACTTAATGATGCTTACCTATCTTTATTAAAGGTGATAATCTTTTTTTTTTTTTAATTTTTAATTTATTTCCTTATCTGATAATGTTGGTTATACTTGTGTTTTGTTTTTCATTTCTTTAATGATCTTTACAACATCCGTCTTTGACTGTTCGTTATTAGCCAAACTATTTAACCTAAAATCAATGAAACTCGTTTCGGAACACTATTCTACTAACATTTGGACGCAATACACTTGGACTATTGTGCAATGCTTCAGCGGGTACAAGTTCACTTAGTTAATTGAAATCATCCACCTGACAAGCTATAAATTTCGGTTTATAAAGTTCCATGAAATCAGTAGTGTGAATCTGTTATATTGCTGGTTTGAAAATATCCTAACATCAATAATCTCATGTAGGTTTATACATCCTGTCGCGAATCACGGCTTTTTTAAAGTTGAACAATAATGTGGTTGTGCCTCAGAAATGTCTCTACCTTATGTCTGTACTTATGCGTTACTACATGAGAAGTTGTTATCAGTATTCCTCTATTTATGTGTTTGAATGAAACATTGTTGTCATGGTAAACTTTAAAGATACAGAAAGTATGCTTGGCATTACTACAGAATTTCATGATTTTCTTTTACTGGTTTTTATTACATTTGCCTGATCATTTACCATTCAATAAGGCTAAATGGCACGAAAACGGCTGCTAACAAAATGCAAATAACTATTTCACTATCACAATATCTCTTCTAAAATCGGATACCTGATCGTATTTCTTTTTTTTTTTAATTATTATAATCTTTACGCCTTAGGCTCTTCGTCATGCAGCGATTTATACAAACCGAAAACTCGATACTTCACTTGTATGCGCTGAAGATCTTGAAGAAAGCACTCGTGTCTCTAGTCCAGATACATTTCATCAAGCCTGGTTAACAGTGAGTAATGCAGATGCTGTTGTTGTCCCTGGTGGTTTTGGCCAACGTGGTGTTGACGGAAAGTTGGCTGCTATACGTTTTTGTCGAGAAAGAGGTGTACCGTTTCTTGGACTTTGTTTGGGTCTTCAGTGTGCTGTTATAGAATTTGCTAGAAATGTTCTTGGCTGGGAAGTAAGTCATGTATCGTAAAGATATTAATGGATTTTATGATTAATTTCAGCGGGCATGAGAAATGACTGTTTATCTGTAAATCCTTACATATGTACACGAAAAAATTCGAATGTAGTTGAAAGAATTCACATTTCAATCTGGTTATTTCTAGTATTTATTTCTGATAAAAGCTTCTTATTCAGCCTGAGAAAGTTACTTCAGACTTTTTGTGTACAGATATAAAGTGGGGTTTTAAGGATACTAAAATTCCTTAAATCTTATTTACCAGTGATATAGTTAAAAGTTATCAATTGTGCTATAAATGCATTTAGGAAAACTATTTCATGTTCAGTCATCTGCCTTTCATCTACAATAAATTAAAAATTTTGACGCTTGCATTGAAGATGTTGTCTAGATAAACAATGGAAGAGTCGAAATTAAACGACCTGGTTCACAGAACACAAAAACGCCAAATGAAAATGTGTGTTGAATGAAATATATCGCTTGTGTTCGTTTCTGGGATTACGTAAAACAGTAAATTTGCTTGACTACTACTACGGGATGCCACCGACAATTATACATCTCATCCAACAGTTATACGACAATGCTGCATACCAAGTAATCCACAACGGGAAACTTACGGAATCCTCCGAAGTGAGGACGGGAGTGAGGCAAGACTGTCTACTATCGCCAATGATTTTCTTGATTGCAGTAGATTGGATAACGCGACAGACAGCGGGCAACGCAACGAGGAGACAGGCATAAAGTGGACTCACACAAAAAACTTGGAGGATCTGGACTTCGCCGATGATATATGTCTGATTTCCCACAAACTGGAGGATATGCAAGTGAAAAGCAATAAGTTGGCAGAAGAAGTATCAAAAATAGGACGGAGTTCAAATGAATATAGATAAAACAGAGGTGATGAATATTCCTGACCAACACCAACAGCAGCAACAACAGACAACAATCAGTCAGCATAAATGTGAGGAACCTGAAAGAAACAACCTCCTTCACCTACCAACCTACCTGGGAAGCATCGTTTCAAACTCCAGGCGGACGGAACTGACGAGGATATCAAAGCCAGAATCGGAAAAGCAAGACAAGCTTTCATTACTCTCAAGTCTGTGTGGAGATCAACAGCCCCACTCAGCATCAAAAATAACATCCGGATTTTCGACTCCAATGTGAATTCAGTCAGTGCTACTATACGGACCAGAGACTTGGCCAGTGCGTCATAAAGAGCATCTCAAACAAACTACAGACCTTCATTAACAGTTGTCTTCGCTCAATACCACTCAAGATCAGATGGCTGGCCAGGAAAGATCAGCAACAGAGATCTCTGGCAATGGGCGAACCAATCCAGCAGGAACCGATTGTGAAACAAATAGGCAGGAAGAAATAGAGATGGATTGGCTGGCCATACATACTCTGAGGAAACCATCAAGTGACATCACTAGACAAGCCATTGCTCGAGTGGAACCAGGCCGAAAGGGAAGCGGCGAGGTGGTCGTCAGTGCAAGGGTGGGATGACGTGGAGGAGGTGATGTGAAGAGGAGATGAAAGCATGTGGGCAGACTTGGAGCGGGGTGAAAAAGTTGGCAGAAAACCGAAGGCAATGGAGACGCGCAGCTGAGGTCCTTTGTTCCTCCAGGAATTAAAGGAAGCAATTATATATATATATATGGTCAGAAACTCATCAGTTTGCGCATTTCGAAAGTATATGTAATAAACTCAGATAAGACAGCTGTTTATCAACTCTGAATAGTACTAAGAAATTAAATGAGAAATTGCGTGAAAAATAACGACGAGGCGAAGTCATGATGATAAAGAACAAACCAGCAGAGTTGATGATTGTGTGAACCGCCTTCGATACGATTGTCAAAACGAAACTCCTTGTTATCGCATAAAACGATTGGAGGCAGTGCTTTAAATACCAAAATAATGGCGAGTTATCATTTTTAGACAGATTATGAGTTATTAAACACAGTAATAATGATAGATATGATGACGGTATTAGTGATATTTTAGTTTAGGGTTTCTAGTATAAGCTGAAATAGTAGAGACATGGTATCAGGTCAGCTATTCGATGTCATCATTGCAGCTTGAATATGTCGTGTATTATGGTGCTGTTACGTTTCTTAACTCAGTTTCTCTTGTTATAATGCATTAGCACTACTGCCAAGTAGGTGTTAGGTTGTGACAAAGAAATACAGGACTGTGGAAAGATTCAAAAATAGTTTATGATGATAATCGAGCTTACATAATCGTTTATAAGATGCAGCTTTAATTCAATCGATTCATAGAAAATAATCGACTTTCTACTCAAGATATTCACAAAAGGCTACTAAAATGGTAATCCATTACAAATCGCTTTTCATTCTGACTTTCAGTGTGTTTAGTCCTGTCCATGCATCAGGTATAGACCTGCCAGGTCGTTCACTTAATTGGGGCTGATTGATTCCCGTTACTAACTTCTTCCATTTCGTAATTTAGCTATATTACCGTCCACTTTCATCAGAAGAAGGGATACTTTGTACTCAATCATTGAAAGTTGTCTAATTCTGTAAAAATTGTTTGACTGGTTACTAACTAACTAGTGTTATGTGTCTAGTCCTTTCTTTAGTGCAGAGTATCAATCAACTTTGCAATGTGGCCACTATGCTAAATGGCTCGCCATCACGTTGCACTCTGAAATCTTGAAATCAAATGCTTGGAGGCAATCGGAAGGAAGCCCTGGAACTATGCTTCGTACCTGTTGACACTCGTTAGCAAGGCTTATCTGCAACCTTGCAGGAACCCACGTTTCTTCAGAGACTCGAACCTGCGTCACCCAATGCCTCATTTAGAGGCGTGACACCAGTTAATTAGTGTCCAATCAAAGTACCCAATACAGTCCTACATGAGGTCAATCACGAGCCGGAATAGCTCGGTGACAACGTCTCTGACTGCAGGGACATGGATTCCGTCAAGGTGGGAGATACTGCGGGGCTAACGAATGACAACAGAAACGACCTCCAACCATCTTTAACAACTCTTTATTCTGTGTTTTCAAGTAGTCAATCTTAAATCGTTCACTCACAATTGCTTTCATTTCAGCTGTGACGTCATTCGTTCTATGTTGATTATCAGTGAAGCTTTGGACTGATATTTTGTCTCAGACAGTTGATTGTCTCTCAAGGAGACTAGTAGAGTTTGTCACTTCAACTCGCATCTAGTATACATTGCTTCAAATATCTGAGCGTAACTTCTCTGAATCTTGTGCCCCCAGATAATTCACTACTAGTCGTGAAGGTATAATATTGGAGAGAAATACCTATTTAAGAAAATTGCTTTCTAGTAACATTTTTATCTTCAGTCAAATATTACTCGATAAGTGTTTCATAGGCATATTGTTCCAGTTGAATATTTTTGGCTGTAAGTAAGTCATAATGGTGCGTCGGTGGTATAGCGGTCAGCACGCTCGCCGACCATGCATATGGTCCGGGGTTCGATCCCTGGCCGGCGCACTCCTTTACCTCACTGAGTCAGAAATAATGCTGGTAAAGAGGAAAGGTTGGGCATGAGGCTAGCAACCCCATCCTGTAAAATAAACACTGCTACAGAAACTTCAAGCCACTAGCTTGGAGCCCTATGTTCCACTGGGAACGTCAAGGAAAAATTATTATTATTATTAAGTCATAATGAATCAACTTAGCTAGCGTAAATTTTATTCACATGCTCGTTCAGTTGTTTTGTTTTTATAAAGGAAATTCATATCACTAGTTAGTTGATTTCACTGAAGTCATCATGTGGTTACATCGTGTCAACAGATTAATCGATCGATAAACCCTTTTCTATCTAAAATCCCTTCTTTCTATTGTAACAATTTACACTTTAGTTACGTTTTGTTTTAGAAAACAGCTGATAGTTCTCTATCTCCCTGTTTCTGTTATTGTAAGTGATAAACTAGATAAGAAGAACTGGATCGCAAGTCTTTTAAGTGTCCACATTCATTGCTATAAGTATCGTCACCAGTTACCATTGTTTGTTAATGAACATAAATAATGAGTGTAAAATGAGCTTTTATAAGCTCATACAATAATAATAAATAGTCAATAAAAATATTCTATGTAACTAGACTTTACTTTCTGGGGTACCTTTTTAATATTCATCTTTAGTCAAGGGTGATTATGGTATGGAGAATCTATAGAAAAAGTAGTACTTTAATTGGTTAGTTGTTTTGTTCCGTTCCATTATGAGACTCGTTAGCTGTCGACAGCGGAAGCTGCACACATGGATACTATTGTGCTCTGTTTTTATGAATGATACTCGTATATTCATTTAACTGTGATTGATAATATCATTTCAACTAGTCATTTACTTTGGAAGCTGATTAGCTAGTCCAGGTTAAAACAAGAAATATTCATAAGATGTCAAGGTAAGTTTTGGCATGAATCGACATCAGGTGAAGAACGATTGAAAATCGGACTGCTGTATCCTCCGACTATGGGACTACTCAGCAACACGCATCTGTAAATACAATAGAGATCGAAACAAGGACCATCGCGTTACAAGGCGATCACATTACTATTCAGTCACTGGTTCGGAATCCATCTCCATTTAGTGTAGTCAACGTGTCTTCGTCCTCACACCTCATTTGGTCGACCCTATTGGTTTGAACTTCTCATTAGAACTCCAGAAATTTTTTATTCAAATTAATAAAAGGGGATTCGTATATTTATTTATTTAGACGCAGAAAAACTTGATACAATATGGCACCAAGAAAGATGCGCCACACAAAATTTCATTTGTCGTGTGAAGGCTGAGAGTTTGTTGCTTTATTTCATTTATTGTGCGAGGGCTGAGATACTGCCCGGGCGCCCAAACAGAAGCAGGTGGTTTTATTAAGCGACCACCCACCCCCCGAGCCTTTGACTTGGAGTCTAATCCGCAAGGCAGCGGAGCAGCCTCAGGAGCTGCATTCCCATGGTTTCCGGTGACCCATATGGGTTCATACGCCATTTGATCCGATTGGATTCTGGAGCCCATGTACCCCATGGTAACTGCTTTTAGTCTAACCGCTATCCAAACAACCTTCCTGACATGGTACGACCTCCAGAGACATGAGTCCCAGACAGTTTAGCTTGTTGGGTCACTGTGGTATTCAAGCCCGACCACCACGGCAAGGTAGCAGTTGTCGGTCGGGGAGGATTCTTATATGAAATTCTTGAAGAGACATCTCCCTGTTAAATCATGTAATTTAAATTTAACTGCAGTACTTCTGATAATAATGATAATGATGATAACAGTCAGGTGACATCACTAGGGGATAATTCTTTTTGGAGGATGAATGTAAGGTTAACTAGTTGATACTGTTTCTAATTTCTCTATAACTCATAACACCTTTTTTCTGGAATATACTAAATGAATACTTGATATTAAAATGATATCATTTTAGAGTAGTATTTGCTTGAGATTACTTTATCGATATTCAAAAGTTCAAATTATTATTGTTATTATTTTTCATACATTTGGTTCCCTTGATAAATTTCGATAAAGAAAGAAAGATCAGATTTTTGTTTTCTTATTGATTGTTTATTAGGATGCTAATTCAACTGAATTTGATCCAAACACTACTCACCCAGTTGTTATTGATATGCCTGAACACAATCCTGGAAATATGGGTGGAACAATGCGACTTGGACGACGTCGTACACTAATGTATTTATCAGAAATATCTAAATCATATTTAGAACGTACATACAAGACTAGTCATCGTGAATTATCAACACCCGTGTTACCCGAATCTGGAGCAGGCGATACATGCACCACGTCTGAAACATTATGTTCAGATAGTGTTATGCATCGATTAATTAATGCGCCTTATTTTGATGCTCGTCACAGACATCGATATGAAGTAAATCCGAAATATGTGAATGACTTAGAAGATGCAGGTCTTATTGTTGTCGGTAGAGATGCAGAAAAAGGCAATCGTATGGAAATTATCGAACTGTTACGACCTTTACCTCAATCTGAGGATAGTTCATTCTCAGGAAGCAAATGTTCAACTCGACATCCTTTCTTCGTTGCCACACAATTTCATCCTGAATATACAAGTCGTCCAACTCGTCCATCAATTTTCTTTGTTGGACTTATGTTAGCTGCATCCAATCGCTTAGATGCTTATGTACACAATCCATTCCGTCTCAGTCCGACTCACTTTTTTGTTCATGAGAAAGACAAGACTGATTCTATGGATTTAGTAAGAATAAATGTACCCCAAAAACATACAGATACAGTTAGTCTTTGTAATGGTAGTATTATCCAAATGTATGATAACGACACCATGCATAAAAGTGGTGCCATAAACTCAATTAACAAAGATGTATGAATAGAATTGAGGTTAGTTTCTCTGTTTTATCACTATAAAGTTGTTTTATTATAATATGCTATCTTTCATTAATACATATCAACCAACTTTTCTGGAGTCAAACTTAAGTATCTTACCTCAGTGAGATGTTAGTGATAACACCAATGTTTATTACGTGTTTTCGATTATTATGAACTCCTAGATACTGATATATTCGCAAAAATTTCTGAACGATTTTATTTGGAGAGCTTCAATTTACACTACAAATTACAGCAGTCTTCTGTCTGTCTGTCTGTTTTCGACATAGAACTTTGCACATATGTGCGGTAGTTCAAGTCGCCACACTCCATGTACCACACAAAGCAAGAGAAGAAAGTAGAAGAAATGCATAATAGAGACAGTAAGCAGAGGTGTGAGACAAAGGAGGAGTAATAACGAAGAACAAAACAGTTTCACTGGAGATCATTAATCACAAGGAGTGGATGCATCTGCGCCACTGAGAACGATTTTGAGCCATGTCATCAATTGTTTCCAACCATTTGTTTTCATCGTACCGGGAACCCCAACCAGGAAGCCAGTCTACATCTTCCTACGTGACCGGCTTAAACTAACTGTTGTGAATTTCATTGACTGGTGCCATGTTTTGGTTTGACCACCACTCGCTCTTTTCCAGCCTGACCCTGTATCAGCTACCATTGCCCGTCGAGGAAGGCGATGGCCAGGCATGCGTAACACATGTCCTAACCATTTTAGTCGATGTAATTTCACAGCCTCGTCGATTGATTTCCCCTGTTTACCTAGAACTCTACGCCTAACCTCAATGTTGCTCACCTTATTATGCCACTTTACACGGGAGATAGAACGCAGGCATCTATGATCAAAGACAGCTAGCTAGCCTTTTCATGTCTTCCACTCTCAATGACCAGGTCTCGCTCACACTTATAAAGGAGGATGGAGCGGACTGATGAGCAGTACACACGCCCTTTGGTTGATAGCCAATTGGATATCACGCCTACGCCAGAGACGGCGTAAACTGGCAAATGCGAAACTAGCCCTCTGTATCCGTGCTGAGATTTCGTCAGAGATCAACCCGTTGGGGCTGATGGTACATCCTAAATAAGTGAAACGGCCTACATGTTCTACCACTTCACAACAGTCTTACATTAGGAAAACTTTAAGTAGGATTGGCAATTGGCGACGGTCATATTAGAAAAAATTAAAAGCCTTTATTATAATAATAATTTTGAAGGATTTTGCCTCGATATGATTATTGAAATGTTAACATTGTCCTTTTCACTCCCTTTGTTAACTGATTTTACATATTTTATCATTGACACTATTATTATTTATTGTCGCTAGTCTGTATAATTTACAAAATCGCTTGGTTTCATTTACATCTTCATAACTGTAGACGGTAAATAAATTTTTGCGTTTAACTGTGTAATGTGATGATGAAGAATCTGATTCTAAGTAGATTCACCCTACGGATATTGAGGTCTTTAGCTAGTTCTCGTGGACTTGCTGATGTAGGGACAATACTGAACTAAAAATCAGAAAAGTCAGGGCTCTGTCGGACCGCAATGGACACTTGTCTTTGTACTTAAGAATATTCCCGACTGTAAGCTGCTACCTTGACGTGGTGGTCGGGCTTGAACACCGCAATGATCTATTCAAGCTATACTGGCTGAGACTTATGTCTCTTGAGGTCTACCATGCCAGGCAGGTTGTTTGGATAGCGGTTAAACAAAAAGCAGCTACCCAATCCAACATCATGTCCAATACAAAATCACAAAATTTCATGCCGGATCGGCCGTGGCCCGGATTAACAACGACCGCGCTTCCTGCTGCCGTGTCACAGGGCAGGAGTGATAAATATGCTACTGAGACACACCAAACAAAAGAACAAACAAAAACAGGCCGCGTGTGACCGGCCTCAAGCAGTTGTCCCCTGGGCTCTGCGGTCACGCAACCAACTTCCACGGTGTGGGCAGCCGGGAAGTAACAATCGCCCTCACAATCCGAAATGCACACGAAACCTCTCTATTACTCACTCATCTTTGTCTTCATCTTCATCTCTATCATCTTGCCTTCCTTCCACTGATGCAACTCCTCGACTTGATAGCTCTCCACTTCCTCTCCACTCTGCGTCCACTAAAAACGATGGAAGCCAAAAAACCACCGACAGCCTCTTAAAGCCGCGCCACCAATTTCATATAGGAGCTCTTAATGTTAGGACACTTTGCCAAATAGGACAACAAGCATCACTAGCCAAGACCCTGGCATCACGAGCCATTGATGTATGCTGTGTTTCAGAAACACGCATACAAGACCCAAGTGTGGTTATTCACCTAACCCCACCTGGCCAACAGGTTGAATCTGCAAAATTCACCTTGAGGGTGTCAGGAGATGCCACAGCTAGTTCACGAGGATTAGCTGGCGTAGGGATAGCTTTGAGTACTAGGGCAGAAAAGACATTGCTTGACTGGATCCCGGTAGATAGCCGAATGTGTGCTGTCCGCCTGAACGGATCAGTAAGAAGGAGGAAGGACTGCACTACTCGCCGATGCCTTTTCGTAATCTCCGCCTACGCCCCCACTGACTGCAGTTCAGATGAAACGAAGGATGAGTTCTACCAAAAGCTGTCTAGTTTGGTGAAAGGCTAAACGCTCAGACATAGTCGTTCTAGCTGGTGACTTTAACGCTCAAGTAGGGAAATTGTGTCAATCTGAGAAGGATGTCGGTGGCACCTATGGAGTTCCGTGCCAGCGAACCGACAACGGTGACCGTCTCCTACAGTTCTGCTCTGATAATCATTTGTTTCTTGTAAGCACTAACTTCAAACACAAGGAGAGACACTGTTTGACTTGGAGACCCCCTTCATCAAACCAACGCTGGACACAAATAGACCACATAGCAATAAGCTATCGTTGGCGTGGGTCGGTAGGAGATTGTCGCTCCTTCTGGAACACGTGCGTAGATACCGACCATGCACTGGTCCGCGCTCGGGTGTGCTTACGACTGAACGGACGTAGGAAACAGCTGGCGGTAAAACCATCACGTCCCCAGCTCGATCAGGAAACTAAATCCGTATTTGAGGAAGAACTAGCTAAACACATATCTGTGTTCGACAGCTGTGCTCACCCTGAAGAAGCTTGGAAAAATATCCAGGCAGCCATAGATACAGCTGTAAAAGCTGTGAATAAGGTAAACCCAAAGGTGAGTAAAAACCACTGGATCTCCACCGCCTCATCCGAACTGATAGATGCTAGAAGACTTATTCCGGCGAGCTCCGAATTCAATGAGGAGCGAAAGCTGCACAAGAGGAAACTTACGAAAAGTCTCCGCAAGGACCGTGAACAGTGGTGGGCGACAAAAGCCAAAGAGATGGAGAAAGCTTCGAGGATAGGCAACACCAGGCAACTCTTTGGACTCATCAGGGAAACGGGTGGGAGAAGACAAATCATTAGTGAGACAATCTCGGAAAAAAATGGCACTATAATTAGCTCCCAGGATAGACGACTGGATCGTTGGAAAGAGCATTATGAGGAGCAGTTTAATTTGCCCACAGCCACGCTCAACCTTCCGAGCATCCAACACCTCCCTGAATGGGATATAGACACAGGTCCTCCGTCACTAACTGAGGTTACTAAAGCTGTCACCAATCTGAAACTAGGCAAAGCAGCGGGACCTGATGGAATGACTCCAGAGGTATTTAAGTACGGTGGAGACAGCTTACTGTCCGGATTAACTGAGGTACTAGGCAGCGTCTGGGAATCAGAAGAAGTCCCATCGGGTTGGTGTAAGTCACTGATTATCCCCATATACAAGAAGGGAGACAAGTCTTCCTGTGATAATCACAGAGGGATTAGCTTGACTAATATAGTATCTAAAGTCTTAGGCTCAATAATCATGCGTAGACTGAGTGGTGCTCGGGAAGCACAAACACGAGAGAGCCAGGCAGGCTTTAGACCAGGAAGAGGGTGTATTGATCATATCTTCACCCTCCGACAGATTCTAGAACATAGGCATTCCTACCGGCGTCCAACAGTCATTATATTTCTTGACCTAAAGGCAGCATTCGACTCTGTCGATCGGGAAGTTCTCTGGAGATGCTTGGCTGTAAAGGGAATTCCGAGAAAATATATTGCACTGATTAAGGCACTCTACTCGTACTCATACAGCCAGGTGAGGGCTTACGGCGAGCTGTCATCTGAACTGATGACGACCAGTGGTGTCCGTCAAGGATGCCCATTATCCCCTTTTCTATTCAACTTCATCATAGATGTGTTAATGGACTTAACCCTAGGTGACTTCAGCGACTCAGGGATTGACTTGCTACCAGGGAATAATCTCGTTGACTTGGAATATGCAGACGATATAGTCCTTCTAGGCGAAGACGCTGACGAAATGCAGAGTCTTCTAAACACCTTGAGCCGCAATCTACGAATGTTTGGCATGCGATTCGCTCCCGCCAAATGCAAGATGATGTTACAGGACTGGACTACATCGACGCCTAGTTTAAAAATAGGAAGTGAAGTGGTAGAGCACGTTGACCGCTTCACTTATTTGGGAAGTACCATCAGCCCCAACGGGTTGATCTCTGACGAAATCTCAGCACGAATACAGAGGGCTCGTTTCGCATTTGTTAGTTTACGCCGACTCTGGCGTAGACGAGATGTTCGACTATCGACCAAAGGGCGGGTGTACTGCTCATCAGTCCGCTCCGTCCTCCTTTATGGGTGTGAGACCTGGCCACTGAGAGTGGAAGACATGAAAAGACTAGCTGTCTTTGATCATAGGTGCCTGCGTTCTATTTCCCGTGTAAAGTGGCATAATAAGGTGAGCAACATTGAGGTTAGGCGTAGAGTTCTAGGTAAACAGGGGAAATCAATCGACGAGGCTGTGAAATTACATCGACTAAAATGGTTAGGACATGTGTTACGCATGCCTGGCCATCGCCTTCCTCGACGGGCAATGGTAGCTGATACAGGGTCAGGCTGGAAAAGAGCGAGTGGTGGTCA